AGGAAGGAGTACTGCAGAAAGGGATCTGGGGTCATAGTATATCACAAGCTAAATATGAGTGAACAGTGTAACACTGTTGCAAAAAAAGAAATCATTCTGGGACATATTAGCAGGAGTGTTGTAAGCAAGACATGAGAAGTAATTCTTCTGCTCTATTCTGCACTATTAGGCATTAACTGGAGTATAATGTCCATTTCTGTGTCCCACACTTCAGGAGAGATGTGAAGAAGTAGGAGAACATCCAGAGAAGAGAAACAAAAAGAACGAAAGGTCTAGAAAACATGACTTATGAGGGAAAAATGAAAAAAACGGGTTTGTTTAGTCTGGAGAAGAGAAGACTGAAAGGAAACATAATAACAGTTTTCAAGTACATAAAAAGTTATTACAAAGAGGAGGGAGAAAAATTGTTCTCCTTAACCTCTGATGATAGGACAAGAAGCAATGGGCTTAAATTGCAGCAAAGGTGGCTTACGTTGGACATTAGGAAAATCTTCCTAACTTTTAGGGTGATTAAACACAGGTTAACCTAGGGAGGATGTGGAATCTCCATCACTGGAGATTTTTAAGAGCAGGTTTGACAAACACCTGTCAGGGATGGTCTAAATACTACTTAGTCCTGCCATGAGTTCAGGGGACTGGACTACATGACCTCTCGAGGTCCCATCATGTCCTACAATTCTCAAATTCAGTGTTGGTGCCAAGAAAATAGTATTCTGGAGAATGATAGAATTGCATGAAGCTAACTGACAGTGCTGGGTAAGTGCTACTATAAAAATATAATTGTTTTCCTTTACTAATGGGTTTCCTTAGAACAGTGGCTCTTTATGTTTTTCCAGTGGAAAACCAAAACTACCTGCAGTTGCTTGCTGTAACCCACCGTATCCCACAATCCTTGATGCAGAAAAAGACTGAAGTCCCAGTGGAAAGTTCCTTTTTAGGTCCTAAAACTGGGTGAAGGCTGGGTGTGGTGGCTGGTTGGTCAGCATTCCTGGCTGGCCTGAGGGTCGCCAACCAGGACCTCTGCCTTCTCCTGTCACATAAGCCCTCTCATTTTTAGGTTTTGTTCAGCCTGTGTTGGGGAGGGAGGTTCTTTTTCCACAGCTGCTGGAGTTCTCCAAACCATCTCCAGTCTTGTCCCAATATTACTGGGTAGATCAGAGTGGTCACTAAGCTGACTCTGTGAGTCTCAATATGGCCCTCGACTTCCACTTGCACTTTTGTGATGGGGTAGGGCAGCACATCGCTATGGGTAGAGTGGATGTCAATAGGGTGTCCCCACCATGTCAGGGGACTCCAGCAGGCTCCAGTAGACCACATGATGGTCTGGCTACATCTGAAGTCCACCAGGCCCATTATTTTGGTGCCATTGATCCATACTGGTAGCAACATCCTAGTTGGGTCCTCTTTCAGGTGCCTGCTGACCATGCCTCCCCATAACTGCAGTTCACAAAGGGACACTCCCACCTGAACTGCCCCTGCCATCCACACTCGAAGCACTTCCCCTTCGGGGTCATAGAATATCAGGGTTGGAAGGGACCTCAGGAGGTCATCTAGTCCAACCCCCTGCTCAAAGCAGGACCAATTCCCAACTAAATCATCCCAACCAGGGCTTTGTGGAGCCTGACCTTAAAAACCTCTAAGGAAGGAGATTCCACCACCTCCCTAGGTAACCCATTCCAGTGCTTCACCACCCTCCTAGTGAAAAGGTTTTTCCTAATATCCAACCTAAACCTCCCCAACTGCAACTTGAGACCATTACTCCTTGTTCTGTCATCAGGTACCACTGAGAACAGTCTAGATCCATCCTCTTTGGAACCCCCTTTCAGGTAGTTGAAAGCAGCTATCAAATCCCCCCTCATTCTTCTCTTCTGCAGACTAAACAATCCCAGTTCCCTCAGCCTCTCCTCATAAGTCATGTGCTCCAACCCCCTAATCATTTTTGTTGCCCTCCGCTGTACTCCTTCCAATTTTTCCACATCCTTCTTGTAGTGTGGAGCCCAAAACTGGACACAGTACTCCAGATGAGGCCTCACCAATGTCGAATAGAGGGGAATGATCACGTCCCTCGATCTGCTATTGGTTGGCCCACCTCTGGTGCCGTGGGTCCTCCTGATAGGGCATATCCCCCTCTTTGGGAGCACAAACCTTCTCGCCATTCCACCTCTGCAGTTAGGTCTCTCCCTGCAGCCAGGGCCATCTCCTAGGATGATGACCATTTTAGCTGTTCTCAACCTTCCCTCTGAACTGGCACCTGCTAGGGATCAGAAACTTGCTTCCAGGGGCACTTCCCTCACTGTCAGTAAGGCTGGTCTCTCAGCACATTAGTAGTTCTCCATTAGGGTCATGGCCTCTGCGAGAGTTGATGGCGGATAGCGCTTCACCCATTCCTTCATCACGACTGGGAGAATATGGATGAACTATCCTAACACAATAATTTCCACCACCTTCACTCCGGTCTGTTTTTCTGGGTATAACCAGTGCCAACACTGGTCCTTTTGACCACCACACAGGGCCAGTGATCTCTCTTTGAGAAACCTCCAGTGAAACAACTTGGGATTAGTATCTAAACAATATAGTATGGCTCTGTGATAGGTTGGATCACAGAAACCCCCCTGGGAGCTGCCCCCTGATGTGCCAAGACTACTTCTATCCCTGTTTTCCCTGCCAGCTCAGGACTCCAGCACCCTGTCTTGCTGAGCCAGACACTCCCGTCTGCTCCAACACAGACCCAAGGTCTCAATTACTTGCCCCAAAGCGGCAGGTTTACCTGAAAGCAACTCACAGAAGTGTGCTTGTCTTTAGCACTCAGATGCCCAACTCCCAATGGGGTCTATACCCAAATAAATCCATTTTACCCTGTATAAAGCTTATGCAGGGTAAACTCATAAATTGTTCGCCCTCTATAACACTGATAGAGAGAGATGCACAGTTGTTTGCTCCCCCAGGTATTAATACATATTCTGAGATAGTTAATAAGTAAAAAGTGATTTTATTAAATACAGAAAGTAGGATTTAAGTGGTTCCAAGTAGTAACAGAGAAAACAAAGTAAGTCACCAAGCAAAATAAAATAAAATGTGCAAATCTATGTCTAATTAAACTGAATACAGATAATCTCACCCTCAGAGATGCTTCAGTAAGTTTTTTCCTCAGACTGGACACCTTCCAGGCCTGGGCACAATTCTTTCCCCTGGTACAACTCTCGTTCCAGCTCAGGTGGTAGCTAGGGGATTCTTCATGATGGCTCCTCTCCTCTCTTCCCTTTGTTCTGTTCCACCCCTTTATATATCCTTTTGCATGACGGTGGGAATCCTTTGTCCCTCTGGGTTTCCACCCCCCCCTCACTGGAAAAGCACCAGGTTAAAGATGGATTCCAGTTCAGGTGACATGATTACATGTCACTGCAAGACTTCATTATCCACTTGCCAGCAGACACATATACAGGAAGACTTACAGGTAAAACACAGCCATTTGCAGACAATGGTCCTAGTTAATGGGAGTGATCAAGATTCCAGACCACCATTAATGGCCCACCCTTAATATAATTACAATAGGCCCTCAGAGTTATATTTTATATTTTTAGTTTCAGGTACAAGAGTGGTACATTTATACAAATAGGATGATCACACTCAGTAGATTATAAGCTTTGTAATGATACCTTACAAGAGAGCTTTTGCATGAAGCATATTTCAGTTACATTATATTCACTTATTAAATTTTTATAAAACCATATAGACTGCACAACGTCACAGGCTGCTTTTACCTTGGTGTAGTCTAGTGCTTCAGCGGGGTCCAAGCTCCTATATGCTTCTTGCACAGGGCTGGTCAAGTATGGGGCTATTTGGGTGGCCAATGTTATGGTGGCTACCCATTCAAAGGTGACCAGGAAAGTTTGGGGTCATTTCCAGGGCCCATTTTCATAAGCCAGGTGGGAATCTTGCAGAGGACAGCATCTACTACAGACTCAGGAACTGTGATGTTGGATGCCCCCTGGAGCTGTAATAGCATTGCCACCTGCTGGATCAGGTGTTCTTGTTGTGCCTGGTTCTGGGCCGCCAGCTCGCAAATTAGCTGTTGTTGCTGGGCAACAATCTGTTGCAGTATCTGCCCTTGCTGTTGCGGGTTCTCCAAAATTAATTTAATCAGCTTTTCTGTATCTGTGACCTCTTTAGGATCATTTAATCAGTGGTTCTTTTGTTGCCCAAGGTCCAGTGTGCTTCAACAGCAGCCCCGGGAACTACAAGTTGTGGACTTGAAACTGCAGCATGTTGGGAGAAATTCCTGGTTCCTGCCAGGATGTACCCTCTCCCCCACACCCCCAGCAGGAGGTCTCAGCACTGACTGAGCTGGGATCACATAGCAGGCAAGCAGAGAGGATGCTGCTGGACTGTAATCCTGTTCTATGTTCTTTACAGGTAGGACCAAAAAGGGCTTAAAGAGCACCCTGAGAGGAGTTTAAATGAGACAAAAGGAGAACATGGGCTTATTTGTTTTAGGGTTTAGATATTGTGAGAGTTAGAACATGTTTGTAAATGGGATTGTGTTGTACAATGTACCCTCTGCTCTCTCAGCAGGAGGTCTCATCACTGACTGAGCTGGGATCATGTAGCAGGCAAGCAGAGAGGAGGCTGCTGGACTGTAATCCTGTTCTTTGTTCTTTACAGAATAAACCTTGTTCCTGATAGTTTGTCTGAGTGGGTCTAGTCTGCGGTGAACACACACTGACAGACAATGCAGAGCACATAGAGGAGCCCCAGGCCCAGTTTCCCAAAGTAGAGTAAAAAGTCGCAAGGCAGGCTTCCCCTATTTGAACAACCTCTACAACCTCATAGTGGGCCAGTGAACAGGAGGGGGAGTTACACTTTTCACAGGACTCAGGTGTTGCCCATATTCTCCACCATGTATCGGAGGCAGTGGGCTTTGGTCCAGTCGCAGCAGCATCACCTGGTGGCAGTTCTCTGGGTTATGTCACCCAGCAGCAAGCATCAATGGCTGGGAGAAAGGGAACCTGGGTTCTCCCTGCTCTACTTGGTTCCAGCCCAGGGCCCAATGAAGCAGTAAATCCAAAATGAGACAGGCGCCTCTATGCCTGATCCCTGGACAACTTTCTACACTGGCTTCTGTTCCTCTGTTGGTGCTGCTGGTTTGCCTCTGAGTCCCTTCTGGAGTTCTCCTATCCATGCTCCAAAGGGTCTTCCTCTCACAGTTGCAGATCATTGTTGCTGAGCTCTGTGATTGAAAGGCCTGTGGTGGCTTAGCATGGAGGACTGGGTCCAGCTGCATGGAGCGTTTGTGGCTTCTCGACCAGAGTCTGCAACACTCAACTGTTCTCTTGCTCCATCTTCCCAGACTGAGCTAAACTGCTCCGTTTTGAGCTCAGCGTCGACTGTGAGCATGCCCAGTAGGGGCAGCTGGGTGGGGCTTTCTGGGCCTAGAGCTGCTCCTTAACCCTTACTTCTCCAGTGTGGGGTTCACAGACCTCACCACAGTACCCCACTGAGGCCCAAACTGTGGTCTTCCAGGGGAGTGAGGAGACTTAGGTGTGGGTAGGAGAAGGGATAACATAGATAAAATGTTATTAGCAGGGGGTTTAGCCCAGGAGCTTGCATATGCCAGGAGGATTTCTTTCAGCTAGTGTCTAGCCACATGTCCCATAGACCATAACCTTTTCCTTGGTTTTGAATCTTCTGTCTTTCCCAGGGACTGTTTATTGGATGGTTGCATATCTGGGTCCTAGCAGGGTGTGGCATAGACCTAGTCTTTTATGTAGGAAGGATCCTCCTGAGATGTAATGTAGCTTCTGTGCATTGTGGGTTATCTCCACAGCTAGGCGAGACAGGCACTGGAGAACTGAGGCCTAATCTCACCTACCTGCTCCCAGTGCACTCCCCTTCATTTAGACCTATGGGTCAAGATGCAAGGAGGAGGAGAAAGGTGTGACAGCTCGCCTACTCCACTAAGTAAAACAGACGGGGGGAGAGGGGGAGGAATGACCTTCTTCTGCCAGATGGAAGTGGAATACTGGAATTTATCTGCCCCTGAAAAAATCAAGTCAAAGCAGAATTGAAAACATTTCTAGAAAGAAATCAGCAAAGGGAAATAGAGCTGGAACTACCAACTGGGGCATTTAGGCACACGCTGAATAGATTCCATGATGGTGACAAACTACTTCTTTCACAATCAATAGATAGGAATGCTTTTAGCTACCAGACTTATGGATGGTAAACTCAGGGGTAACAGAATTAATTTGTTCCCCTGACTACAAAATGAATTTCCAGCACAACTGAGGTTACTTCCAACAATGAGTTTGAAAAATGGGCCTAACATGCATAGCTTAGTATGTTTTACATCACAGATAGTGAATTATTTTTTGTTAAGGCACAAATTTCTTGGTCAAGGTATAATCAAGGTCCAGACTCCAGAGAAAATAATTAAAAAAACAAATAATAATGAGTAAAAAAAAAAAAAGAATGGTGGAGTCCATTCAAAAGCATATGGTAGTCCAGATTTGGCCCGCATTCTGCCTATTGATTACCCCGTTCTACATAATATGCATTTACTTTATGTGAGCCCATAAAAAACTCTTACATCTACTTCAGATTGTCTCTCCATCTGATCCATAGATATTTGATGTTCTCTGCCTTTAGTGGCTTGATCTTTGATACCTTCATCAGTTACTCCACATTGATCAGGTGAATCTTCATCAGCTGCCATTCGATAAATAACATGTTGAAATGTAGAGGAAGATTTAACAGGTTCAATTTCATAGTTTAAATCGTAAATCATCAAATGGCCCCTAAGAATTGCAAAATTGAAGTGTGATTTAGAGACTTGAGAAAATTAAAAAACTCTGCAAACATATTAGAACTGGTCAGGAATTTTCCATCTGAATTATTTTTGACGTATAATGCAGATTTTGCAGAACTTTTACTGAAATTTCCTCCTTTGCGTCCTGACAGGAAAGTGCTATTGAGGGAAAAACATTTCCAATTTACAATTGAATAGAAATGTTCTTGGTAACACAGCCACCTTTGAGAGGCACACTTAAGAGCCCGAAGAGCCCCGAATGGCCATCAAGCCACAGATCCATGATCACTGCACTACATACTGCACTACACACATAAAAATTAAGATTACAGACTTGTGATTCTAGCCCTATGCAGTAATAGCAAATGACACTTAACAACTGATTAGCATGAAATCTGCATTAGGAAAAGATAAAGGGGCACTAACCAGTTATTCTGTTATGTTCAATCTACCTTTCCGTTTCAGAAGAAGAAAATTCATAATGTTTGCAGTCTAGCATACTGAGGAGTCTACATTACCAGAGTCCAGAGCAGGTGCTGAGAACTGCAACAGATTCTGGGACATCCTCTACATATCCAGAGTAGTAGCAATCATCCTGCAAGGTCAAAAAAAAAGTTTTTCTTTTCTATCATTAATATTAGTCAAACAGAATAACAGATACTAGTTACACAAAATTAAAATACACAGTGCAAAGTCTAATTTTTTTTGCACCTGATCTCAAAATGGGGTTCTAATATGAAAAAGGAGTGTACGAATGACACCTTTTCACTCAGCAGATCTGTTCTCTTGTGTAGTCAGATCTGCTGACTTTGGTGTCAAAACCAAGTTTTGCTGCTTTTCACTCATGTTAACAGTGCAGAGACAATGCAGCAGAGATTGAGTGAGCTTCAAAGAGAGGTTCTCAAATATTACACCTTTCACACAATGAATTCCTAATACCTTACTATTCACGCTTCTACTACCTTACCATCAATAATACTGCTCTACAGCCAAAATGCTTCTGAAATACTTGTAGTCAAACTTTACTAATTCTGGGTCACTGAGAACGAAAATGATGTTTAAAATTGTTGATTGGCTCTGGTTTTCATGTTATGCTATTGGGTCATTATATATGCCCCTTGACTTCGGTATGT